ACACACACACACACACACACACACACACACGGGTTACTAAGAGGTAGAGAACAAAGAATTATTTAGAGTTTCAGTTTGGGCTGATAAATGTCTGGTGACGAACAGTGGCGATGTGGATGTCACAGAGTGAATATACTCAGTGTGTAAAATGACTAAATGGAAAATGTGACGTTACCTTTCCACAATAAATTAGACTAAGTAATTAAATTAAACTTAGTAAAGAAATTAGACTAAGGATGTGGCCAAGTGGGTAGTGTGCTTACCTAGCATGTAGGAAGACCTGGGCTCCATCTTCAGTGCTGCATAAAACCATACCAGACAGTGCACATCTGTAATCCCAGCATCCTGGTGGTGGAGACGGAGGCAGGAGGATTAGGAATTCAAAATCATCCACGGGGACACGTATAGTTCAAGATCAGTCTGGGCTGCATGAGACTTTCTCAAAATAAATTGACTAACTAAAACAGTTTTTAAACGATAAGACAATAAGTAAGAGGGCTCTTTACACTATCTCTGTCATTAGACAAGACCTGAAGTGACCTCCTCACGTAAAGCCAATGCCCTTCCTCTTTTTCAGATCCCACACCACAGCAACTTGCCCCTGGTTGCAAGCTGGAAGACTTTCTTGTTGTTCTTTGGCACGGCTATCTTCACCTTTGAAGGCGTGGGGATGGTAAGAAGGATGAGGTGCCCCACGGGATGTCTAGCTATGATTCCCCATGTCACCCTACCTGTGTTGTAGGGTGAAAGGAAAATCTATACTGCCAAAGGCACCTCCCACCCCAGACCACACCCCAAGCTCCCAAGGCAAAGATGGAGAATTTACTAATCAGCTTATAATGAGCAGGCTGTTGGGGCAATAGTAAGCACGAGACAAGATGTAGGGGGAGTGAACACAGGGAGGGAGTGTGGCCATGTGGAGGGGTGTGGCCATAAAGCTGATGTGAATGTGGAGGGCGTGACCACATGGCGTGGCTTTCCAGGGGTGTGGCTGTGTGAAGGGTGTAGCTATGTGGAGTGGTGATGTGGATGATGTAGCCTTGTAGAGGTGTGGCCCTGTGGGTGGTGATGTGGAGGGGCATGGCCATTTGGAGTGAGATGGCAATACAGAGTGTGGCTCTGTGGAGGGTGTGGCCTTGTGGAGGGGTGTGGTCTTTGGAGGGTGTGGTCTTTTGGAGGGGATCCCTACTAACTCCATCCACCAGAACAACCCTTATGCCCATAAGGAAACCTAACAGAAGCCATCTAGGAAAGGCTATGGCAAGCAAGTGTGTTTCCTGGAGATGGCCCACCATTCTGCCCAGCTGCGATGGGTGCACTCTGGAGAGGCCCAGCCCCAGAGACTTTGCCCCAGGATTGCTTCTCACTGCTGATCTGCTTTTCCTGCCATTATTACATAGTCTAATGACTCCTGGGCATCAGCCCACACTATTGGGCAAATTTCCTGCAGGTCAACATGAAGATGAACTTTCATGAATTAATGATGTTTAGAGAAACTAATGACTTTATAGAATTCCCGATTCGATTCAAATAAATTTAAGAAGAACGTTTAAGGAGATGGTTTTAGTTGTTTTGCCAAAAAGATGTAATGAAGTTAGAATCAAGAATAGAATACCCCTAGCCAGGGGGTGGTGGCATACGCCTTTAATCCCAGCACTTGGGAGGCAGAGGCAGGCGAATTTCTGAGTTCGAGGCCAGCCTGGTCTACAGAGTGAGTTCCAGGACTACACAGAGAAACTCTGTCTCAAAACAAACAAACAAACAAACAAAAAAGAATAGAATATCTCTCCTCCTCATAGAATAGTAAGTAAAGGCTGCATAATAAGGAATGCAAGAATACAATGAGCTTTCACAAATTACGATAAGAAGAGAAATAGACTTGGGATGGATTTGTGATCAAGGAAAAATATTCATTCTAGGTCAGGTCCAAGGATGAAGCCACAAATGTGCAGTATGCTAGAGCAAGGCCATATAAAACTGTTGCTTTGAACTTATAATGAGCTTATAGAACAAAACACTGCTTTGAACTTGCTATCAACATCCTTCATAACTCCCCTTTTGTGTAACATTTTATTTATGAGGCAATTTTATAAAGAACTTTTGTCTAAGAAGGTATAAAAGAATCTGAGAGAGAGCCGGGCAGTGGTGGCGCACGCCTTTAATCCCAGCACTTGGGAGGCAGAGGCAGGCGAATTTCTGAGTTTGAGGCCAGCCTGGTCTACAGAGTGAGTTCCAGGACAGCCAGGACTACACAGAAAAACCTTGTCTCAAAAAAACAAAACAAAAAAAGAATCTGAGAGACGATATAAAGTGTGGTTTTGGGGGCTCTGCTCCACCCACCAAATATGTGTGTACATATATACATCTATACGTACTTACATATGTATATAGGTATATGTAAGTATGCATGTATATTTGTGAAATTGATGAAACAGGTGGTCAGGCACAACCAGAGTGTGTGTGTGTGGTGTGTGTGTGTATGCCTAACTTTTTTATTTTCTTCCTTTTCTTTTCTCTCTGGCTCAGAAAAAAGTAAGGAACTCTGAGCCTCTAACCTGGCCAGTCAGGGGCCCTTGAGTCAGAGAGAAAACAGTTCAAATAACTGAGCCTTTTTTTTTTACTCCCCTACTGCTATCAGCAGGAGTTAAGTTGCCAGCAGTCAGCAGCTTTAGGCCATAGAATAGCAAGAGTTAAGGAAAGAATTAAATATTCAGAATAGCAAAGAGTTATAGAAAGAGTTAAATTGCCAAAAGGAAGCAGCTTTTGGCCACTGGATACCCCCATCCACAATTGCCTTTCTCAGGGAACTGGATGCCAGGAAGCCCCGCCCCCAGCAGGAACCAATACCCACACTATGGCCACTTTCCACCTTGTCTTTCCCAAACCTTTGCTTCTAGGTTCTGCCTCTCAAAAGCCAGATGAAGAGCCCACAGCAGTTTCCCGCCGTGCTGTACCTGGGGATGTCCTTTGTCATCTTCCTCTACATCTGCCTGGGGACTCTGGGCTACATGAAGTTTGGTGAAGACACTCAGGCCAGCATCACCCTCAACTTGCCCAACTGCTGGTAGGAGACTGATTCCTCAAGTGTGACAGGGGAGGCATGGGAGGTGACCCTTGGTGACAGCATGTGCACGTGTGAAACAGTTAACCTTTAGCAGAAGAAGTGAACTGCTGGCGGCCATGTTAACTATGATAATGGGTGAGTTTGAAGACCGGCACTGTGCGCCTTAACCATTGTCATTGAGGATTCCATGGAACAAAGGAGAACGTCGACGTTAGAGGCTCTCGGTGACCTTTCCAGTTCACACAGTCTAGGGACAGTGGAGACTTGAGTACAAGTTTGATCCTAAAATGCATAGGTCCTAAGATGAGTGACACAGAGCTGGTGAGCAAACAGAAAGTGAAAACTCCACAGTAGAGCACTCGTGCAGATTGGCTGAGCCCCTGGGTTGGATGATGATAATGATAATAACGACAACAACAACAAATTTATTTGTGTGTGTGTGTGAGATAGGTTCTCATGTATCCCAGAAGAACCTCAAACTTCCTTTGCAGCCATAGCGAGCCTTGAATTCTTCAGCCAACCTGCCTCTGCTTCCCAAGTACTGGGATTATAAGCATGCACTGTAGTACCTGGTGATAAACAAATAAATAAATGTAGGCATATACCACAGATGGACTGCTACTTAGGCCAGAGTGTCCCATCTGGAACTCAGCCTGAAGTCCTTGCCTTCAGTCACTGATTCCCTCACCCTCCCAGGTATCCATCCAGGAAATATCTGTAGGCGGGATCTTTAGAGGAGGTGCAGGACTCCTAGTGACTAAGTACATGCTCTGAAGCTAATTAATGAGACCCACATTCTGGTTCCTCCATGGCCGTGGGCAAGCCTCCCACCCCTCTGTACAGCAAGGCTTACACACGTGCCTCTTCGTATCAGTCAGGACCGCTTCATGATGCTGCCACGCAAGTGCTTAACTCTTTGTTCACATCATAGTGCAGGCTCTCATTTGAGCGGATCAGCCACAACTAGGGTGTTGCTGGTTGTCACGACAGAGCCATTGAATGACACCTGCCCTTCCCAGGCAGCTGGCACAACAGTTTAAACTTCGAATTTGAGCCTAAAAGGCAGCCCTCCCTGTCTGACTTCCCACCCTAGCCAGGGAAAGGCCTAGGAACCTTTGATACACAGCATGAATAATTACTGCACTCCCTGGCAGCAATTGCCTTAATATACAGAAAATACTTTGAAAAGTGCTGGGCACGCAGCAAGCTCTGAGGATTATCAACTGTTATCATGGTTATGGGTCACCGCAGCCTTGGGCCTTTTCAGGTGGGTGGGGTGATGGTGGCATTTATGTTTTCCGAAGCCAGAGCAGTAGAAAGAGGAAACTGTCACCAGCCCCACCCTCCTTGCTGTGCTCTGCTAATGACCAGATGAGATCATGAATGTGGAATTCTTTGAAGTTGTGCCTTAATTTATGCAAGCAAAATATCTTAATATGCTGCTCTTCTTCCTGGCTGACTGTACTTCATCTAGCTACCGTGGGCAGAGCCTTTTCATTCCAGGGGTAGCAGCTAAATACATGAGCAGTGAGCTCCAGTCAGTATGAGTGAGCAGAGGAAAGGAACTCGCTCTTAAGGGAAGTCTTGAATGGATGGGGTCAACGGATATATAAAAATCACAATTTTATATGCAAGAAAATAGATCTTCAAAATATACAAAATAGGGCTGGGCGGTGGTGACACATGCCTTTAATCCCAGCACTTGGGAGGCAGAGGCAGGCGGATTTTTCCAAGGCCAGCCTGGTCTACAGAGTGAGTTCCAGGACAGCCTGGGCTACACAGAGAAATCCTGTCTCCAAAAACAAAAACCAAAAACAAAAAAAAAAAAAACCAAAAAAAAAAAAATATATATATATATATATATATATGTATGTATAAAATGAATGCCAGTTTTAAAATAAAGTTACAATGTTGGGACTGAGTGGATAACTCAGTCAAGTGCTTGCCACAGAAGCAAGAGGCCTGAGTTTGACCTTCAGTACTCACATAAAAATCTGGGTTTGGAGGTATATCCTCGCTCTCTTAGCACCGCAGAGGTGGAGACAGGCAGATACATGGAGTGTGCTGGCCAGCCAGCCAAGCCAAGTGTGACTCAGTGAGAGTCCCTAGGACACACCAAGAGACCCCTCATCAAATACAAGGTGGCAGTTCAACATCCCTACATGCCTGCACATATGTGTGCATGTGCACATAGGAACACTCACACACACTGCGGTGTCAGAGACTGAAATGATTCACATACTATTTTGACACTCCTAAACTGCATAGACTAGGACAATAAGAGGGTAGTATGTCAGCCGGGGGGTTGGGGGGTGCATGCCTTTAATCCCAGCACTTGGGAAGCAGAGGCAGGCACACATCTGAGATCGAGGCCAGCCTGGACTACAGAGTGAGTTCCAGGACAGCCAGGGCTAAACGCCAAGACTACACAGAGAAAAAAAATCTCGAAAAAAACTAAAAAAAAAAAAAAAAAGAAGAAGAAAAAAAAGACGGTAGTATGTCAGTAGACATCAAAATTTAAAACCATAGCTCAGTCGTTGAATGCTTACCTAGCGTACACAAGGTCCTGGGTTCAATTCCCAGTGCTTCATAAACCAGAGTACTGGCTCATGCCACTAATCCCAGCATTTGAAAAATGGAATCTGGAGATCAAGGTCATTCTTGGCTGGGCCACAGGATGAGACCCAGTGTCAAGAGAAAATAATTTAAAAATCATTTTTACTTCCGGGGTTGACACATAGATAATATGTAGGAATATACATATATTCCTGTGTAGATGTGTGTGATATTATGTTAGGATAAGCAGGTGTGTGATATGTGGGTGTGCGTCATATGCGGAGATGTGCAGACATAAGGTACGTGGTGTGTATCGGGGTGCTGAGACATGGAGAGATAGTCTTTGCCGCATTGTTTCTTGGCAAAAGACAGAACATTCTAAGTTTCCCATTAAGTGTCAACCAGTTGAAAAACTAAAAAAATCTCTGTGCTGTTAAACAGGAGCTCCAGGGAAGAACTTACAGGAAGTATTTGTTTATCAATAGAGAAGGATCTTGAGACAAGTTCTTACTATATAGGCCCTGTTGACCTGGAACTCACTATGCATACCAAGCTGGCCTCAAACTTGTGGCAATCCTCCTGCTGCGCCTCCCGAGTGCTAGGATCACAGGCACGTGCCACCACACCCAGCTTTATGCTTGATGAAATAATAAAGGTCAGCAATTCGTAGAGCCGTGCCACCGTGCGTTTGTGGTGTCGGTGTGGCTCCCCCACGTTCTGTTTAAGATTGTAGACACAGGGCTGGAGAGATGGCTCAGTCAGTAAAGTTCTTGCCACCCAAACATGAAGACCCAACTTAGAACCCTCAAAATCCATATAAAACCTTAGCACAGTGGCACACATCAGTAACCCCCAAGTTCCTAAGTGGCATAGGCAGAGACAGAAGAATCCACGGAAGTTTGTGGCACAGCTGACCTGACAAATACAGCAGTGACAAAAGAGAGAGACGCTAGCCCATATATGGTAGAAGGCTAGGACAGACACCTGAAGTGGTCATTTGACCCCCACATGTGATTCCTGGCAAGCACACATGGGCACACACATGCACACATGTGCGCACACACATTTTAAAACTTTTAAAAAGATTCTCTGTACACAGACTATTTCTAGAAAACTCTGAGGGTACTTCAGTGAGAATCAGGGGTGGGGATGGTGGTCTTGCCTATATGGCTGCTAGACTGTGACTGTACTATACACAGATATGACATAATTTCTAAATAAAAGATTTAAATAATACCTGGAGGGTCCAATGGCTTTGGACCCTCCAGGAATGCATGCTTCCATAGACCTCCTATGTCACCTCTGAGCCAGTCTGAGCCCAGTCACTGTCTTCTGACCTGTGAGGGTTCTGATGTGTCCTGAGCCACCTTCCCCGAAGCCTGGTGGCATCTCACCTCCTTTCAATGCTCTGTCTGCAGGCTGTACCAGTCAGTCAAGCTGATGTACTCTGTGGGTATCTTCTTCACCTATGCCCTCCAGTTCCACGTCCCAGCTGAGATCATCGTCCCCTACGTCGTCTCGAGAGTGTCTGAGAACTGGGCTCTGTTTGTAGACCTGACCGTCCGCACAGCCTTGGTCTGCCTGACCTGTGAGTAGGAAAGAGGTCATAGGTTTCTATGACGCATGTTATACCTCAGAATAGTGCCTACCCCAGCAGCTTTGGCTCTGCCATTTGCCTCTGTGATCTGTAAGATGTTTGTCTCCTGAATTCTCACCTTTCCACCTGAAACTGGCTTAGAAAACTATCACTGAGAGACCCTGTCTCAAGGGAATATTGCAGGGAGTGCTAGATGACGGAACAGGACACTTGATTCCCTCCTCTGACCTCTACATTCACATGGGCGTGCACACACACACACAATTTTTTCTCCCTACAAAAATGATCTTTTAAACATCACATGGGAGGCGGGGCAGGGGCAGGGTGGGGCAGCAGAGAGCCAGGGTCCAGAGCTGTGGTGTCTGACCTGACCTGATCTGATCCTTGAACTACAAAGCCGTGCTGTTGGGGGCTCCTCCTCTTTGAGGCACACTCAGTGAGTCTGCGGTCCTCTCTTCCTGCAGGTTTCTCAGCCGTTCTCATCCCCCGTCTGGACCTGGTCATCTCCCTGGTGGGCTCGGTGAGCAGCAGCGCCCTGGCCCTCATCATCCCGCCCCTGCTAGAGATTGCCACGTTTTACTCTGAGAACATAAGCTGTGCAACCATTGTCAAGGACATCATGATCAGCATCCTGGGCCTCTTAGGGTGTGTATTTGGGACATACCAAGCCCTCTACGAGATGACCCAGCAGACCCACTTTTCCATGGCCAACTCTACAAGGGTCTACACATAATTACCTATTTTTATTTGAATAGCTCTTCCTTCCCCCACCCTCTGTTGGATTCCCATTATATATGTTCATCAAAACCCAGCCTCTTTATTCATTAGTGGCTTCTTTATCTTCCAAAGAGAACATGGGTGCATGCTGATTCCCGAGAAGAAGCTCTGGCCTATTGGTTCTTTGATACCATCACCCTCAAAAGGCCAGGAGAGGCCATGTATGCATGTAGTCGCAGTACCAGAGGAATAGGGAGGCAAGTGTATATGCCTGGAGCTCGCTGACCAGCCAGCCTAGCCAAATCAGTGAGTCCAGGTTCACTGAGAGACCCTGTCCCTCAAAAGCAAGTTAGAATGCAATCAAGAAAGGACACCTGATACTGTCCTCGGCCTCCACTTGCACATACAAGTAGGTACACACATGTACACACGCTCGCACTGATAACTACTTGTACAGAAAATGGGTAGGCTGTAAGGTGACCCATCATTAATAGAAACTGCTGCTTGTCTTAGTTAGGGTTTCCATTGCTGTGAAGAGACATCATGACCATAGCAACTCTTATAAGGAAAACATTTCATTGGGGCTGGCTTACAGTTCAGGGGTTTAAATCCATTATCATCATGGCAGGAAGCATGGCAGCGTGCATACAGTCATGGTGATGGAGTCGTAGCTGAGACTTCTACATCTGGATCTGTAGGCAGCAGGAAAAAGAGTGAGTCACTGGGCCTGGCTTAAACATCTGAAACCTCAAAACCTGCCCCAGATAACATACTTCCTCCAATAAGGACACACCTACTCCAACAAGGACACACCTCCTAATAGTGCCACTCCCTGAGACTATGGGGCCATTTGCAATCAAACCACCACATTCCACTCCCTGACCCCATAAGCCTGTAGCCATGTCACAATGAAAAATACATTTAGTCCAACCTCAAAAGTCCCCATAGTCTATAAGAGTTTCAGATTTGTTTAAAAGTTCAAAATTCAAAGTCTCTTCTGAGACTCATACAATTTCTTAACTGCAATCCCCTACAAAATCAGAATGAAAAAGCAGATTACATGCTTCCAACATATGATGGCACAGGATCTACATTACCATTCCAAAAAGGAGGAGGGAGCATATGGAGGAAATACTGGACCAAAGCAAGGCTGAAAACCAGCTGGGCAAACTCCACACTGCATCCCCATGTCTGTTGTCAGAGCGCTCTTCAGATCACCAACTCCTTTCAGCTTTGTTGACTGCAACACACTTCTCTCTCTCTTGGGCTGGCACCTCCAACATTTTGGGGTCTCCAAGGCAATCCAGGGCTCACCTTCACAGCTTCACACAATGCCCTCTCTAGGACTCCTATTAATAGTGTCACTCCCTATGAGCCTGTGGGGGCCATTTTTTACTCAAACCATCACACTGCTCTCCCATGGGACCCAAGTTGAGCTCTCAGCACCCATATCAAGGCAGCTCACAGTGGCCTGTAACTCCAGTTCCACAAGATCTCTTATGGCCTCCAAGGATATGACTGGCATGTCCACTGGCACACCTGTGACACACACACACACACACACTTTTATAAATTAAAAGAAAATAAATATTTTTTTAAAGCATGGTACATCCCCTGATGCCCTGAAAAAAATCACATAAATCCAAGAGTGTTTTCCTCCCCTCTGTTCAGAAGGTATCCTTGAAGCATCAGATTTAGAAAGTGTCCCCAGAAGGAAAATGGATATCCTGTTCAGCTAAGAGTCTCAGGAAGAACAGTCACCTTAACTTTGTCCAGGCACTGGCTCGGTTTCTAATCTTACACCAAACCTTGGGAACTTTCCCTTTCCCCACCTCCAGTCTTAGTTAGTGTCCTGTTTGTAAAATGAAGGGTTGGGGCAGTTGATTATTATTTAAAGACCTTTTCAATGCCGATATTCTTCCTGTGAGAAGAATGAAAATCTATCCCCCAAACGTGAAAATAACTTCTCATCCACTAATCATCCTGTTACCCCTGGAGATGTAAAGAGTCTGGGATAAAAGCTCATTTCTTTGAAATTTTTCATTCTCTTTCAGAATTTCTCTTTCAGAGAAGGTAGATTCTTGTTAACACAGGAAAAGAGCCACTTTCCCATCTCTAAGGCTTCCTTCCTCTTTTCCTTCCTTCCTCCTTCTCTTCCCTGCCTTCCCTTCCCTCTCTTACCCTCTTTCATCTCCCTTTCTCCTCCCTCCTCTCCCTTTGCCTCCCCCTCTCTCCTCCCAGTTCCCCTCTCCTCTCCCTCCTGTGGAGAAAGAGATTTCATTGTCTGTGAGGATTATTGACCTACTTTTAAAATAACATTTAGCTGGGGGAAGGGTTCTCAAAAGACAGTCCTCTCTGCAAACGGAATGAACACTGTTACTGTGTTTCTTGTTCAAGGACAAACTTTGCAACATGGAAGTCTTAACATATGTAGCGATCGTTTGTCCCAAGTATCCCTTTGTGTTTGCAAAGACGAACACAAAGTAGTAGAAAGTTAGAAATACACATCCCACATCAGTAAAATGGTTAATCCAGAGCCAGCATGCCTCCAGACTTAAAAGCACACTTCCAGAAGCTTGGGACTTAACCAGTGAGCAAAAGCTGTTTAAAGACATGTGAACCAGCCAGGTATGGAGGTGCAGGCCTGTAGTTCCAGCTACACAGGAGATTGAGGCACAAGAATGGCAAGTTCAAAGTCTACCTGGGCTAGTCAGGGTCTTCAAGGTCAGCATAAGCAACAACTTAGTGAGACCCTGTCTAATAAATAGGCGGTGGTGGCGCACTCCTTTAATCCCAGCACTTGGGAGGCAGAGACAGGCGGATTTCTGAGTTCGAGGCCAGCCTGGTCTACAGAGTAAATTCCAGGACAGCCAGGACTATACAGAGAAACCCTGTCTCGAAAAACCAAAAAATAAAAAATAAATAAATAGGAAGTGAAGGCAAAGGGGCTGGGGCGTGGCTCAGAGGGGAAAGCTGTTGCCTGGTGTGTGGAAGACTCAACGTTAAATCTCCAGTACAGCAAAGAAGCAAACTAACAGAATGATGGGGGCCGCAGCTAGACGAAGATATTATGGGGAAATAACACTACAGAACAAACTTCTTTGTGAACACAGCCAAGGGCTGGGCCACAGGACCAGAGCCTCATGCATGCTATGCAAATACTGTGCTATTGGAGGCCCCAGCTCAGGCTTATAGTGGCTTTTTAAAGTTCCCTTTAGAGCTTTCCCCCTGCATTCCTAACCTAGTTAAGTGTCTGTTGCAAGAGGCCTACTGTCTGGCCTGTCTCTGCTTGTGACCATGCTTCCTCACTAATTGCAACCACTTCTGACTAGATTTAAAGGGAGAGACTGTGGTTTTTTCCTTTTGCTTAAGCACTTAGAAATCTTTGTACAGTTATTAGCTGTGTACTAGTTTGGATGAGAATGGCCCCCTCAGGCTCATAAACTTGAGTGCTTGATCATCAGAGAGTGGAACTGTCTGAGAAGGATTAGGAGGTGTGGCCTTGTTGGAGAAGGTGTGGCCTTGTAAGAGGAGGGTGTCACTGGAAGTGGACTTTGATGTTTCAAAAGTCCATACCAGACTGAGATGTCTCTCTCTGTCCTACTGCCTGCGGATCCGGATGCAGAGCTCTCACCTATTTCTCCAGCGCTATGTCTGCCTGCCTGTCACCATATTCCCTACCACGATAGAATAGTCTAAGCCTCTAAAACTATAAGCCAGCCCCCAATTAAATGTTTTCTTTTATAAGAGTAGCCTGAGTTGTGGTGTCTCTTTACAGCAATAGAACAACGACTAAGACAAGCTAGCGATTTTTTTTAAGCATGTGGTGTGTGTGTGTGTGTGTGTGTGTGTGTGTAGCCCAATAGTTTCAAGAAGTCTCCTGTCTCTTCCTCTCTTGTCACTGTAGGAGTAGTGGACTTACAGATATACTACAGCATAAACCTTATGTGGACTCTGGGGATTCGAATTTATGCTTTCACAATTATAATACCTTTGTATATCAAAGAACAGAGAGCTGAGGGAGAGCAAGGAAAAACATACTCAAGGAAAAACAATGAATGAGTATCAAGGACAGTCAAAGCAATCACAAAAGAAACACAAGGGATCACAGGCAGCAGGTACAGTGACCTCCGTGGCCTGGGCCTGCCATCCTAGCACTGGAGAGGTGGAGGCCGAGATTCAAGATCACCCTCCATTACACAGAAAGTTCCAGGCCAGCCTGCACTCCATAAGACCCTGTCTAAAATAGTAAAAAGAAAAATTGGGGCAGCAAGAAGGCTCACCAGGTAAAGCTGTGGCGCTTGGCAGGCTGAGCTCAGCGTCTATCGCCAAACTCGCTAGAGGGAGGAAAGACAGGAGACAGATAAATGTAACAAACATCAGGAGTCAGTTTTAAAACAAGAAAAAGATAAAAGGTCAGGGGGTGGAGAGATGCCCGGTAGTTAAAAGCACATCCTGCTTCTTGCAAAGGACCAGAGATCAGTTCCAAGGCCCATGCTGTGTAGTTCACAACTGCCTATAACTCCAGTTCTAGGGAATCCTATACCCCATTCTGGCCTCCACAGGCATCTGCATGCATGTGCACATGCATACTGTCTCAGGGTTTCATTGCTGTGAAGAGACACTATTACCAAGGCAACTCTTTTTTTTTTTTTTTTTCGTTTTTTCGAGACAAGGTTTCTCTATGTAGCCCTGGCTGTCCTGGAACTCACTCTGTAGATCAGGCTGACCTCGAACTCAGAGATCCGCCTGCCTCTGCCTCCCAAGTGCTGGGATTAAAGGCGTGCACCACAACTGCCCGGCAAGGCAACTCTTATAAAGGAAAACATTTAATTGATGCTGACATACAGTTTCAGAAGTTTAATCCATCATCATCATCAATTATCATCATGGCAGGGAGCTCGGCAGTGTGTAAGCAAACACAGTGCTGGAGGAACCTAGAGATCCGCATCTTGATCTGCAGGCAGCCAGGAGAAGACTTTATTCCACACTGGGCAGAACTTGAGCATAGAAGACCTCAAACCCCCACTTCCACAGTGACACACTTCCTCCAACAAAGCCACACCTACTCCCACAAGGTCACACACTCAGTGCC